GCAAAAGTTAGGGTAGCCCGCTAGATCGAAAATCCGCAAAGGGAGGTCTAGGCAAAAGTTAGGAAATTCATAAAAAAAGAAAAAAAAAGTCCGCTAAGATATCCTAGACAAAAATTAAGGCAACCCGCTAGATCAAAAACCCGCAAAGGGCGGTTTAGGCAAAAGTTAGGGCTTAACAAAAAATGAATAAAAAAGGAGCCCACCAGCATAATCATGAAAATGCAGTAGGAGAATGCCAGTCACTTTTCTAGATACATCAAATAAAAATAGATTTCATTTAGGGCATCCACACACCAGTAGTCGCACAATACGACTCCGTCAAAATCAAAAACAAAAAAAAATAAAAAATCTCTGTAAGTAAATAAACAAAAAATAATACTCATACATATAAGGAGACTAGCTCCATGTTTGTGATTGAAAACAAGAAGCGCCAAAAACAGGTCTCCAAATAATGCTCTCCCTCAAGAAAGCAGAGCAAGTTGCCACTAATAATTAAGCAACCCCAAAGCAAAACAAGAGCAAAATAGAAGCTTCAGAGCACCCAAAAGCTCCAGTCATCATTCTTCTACCCAATAAAAGAGGGCACAATCATCAGACATCATAAAAGAAAAGCCGACGGAAAGGCTTAGTTATCCCCAAGTGGATTTTTGTCTACTCCAGAGGCAACACAAATATTACCCCACGACTCAGCATCGCCACTACATGAGTCATCGAGCACACTCACCCAAAGTCTCTTCCACACTCCCCAATGGGGAATAAAGGCTTCAAGAGCCCATCATCATCAATAGTCAAAGGAGTCCAATCTCCATACCATTAAGGGCTCAACAAAAAGAGGAAAAAAGAAAAAAATCTTTGCATCCCCAACGGATATCCAAAAGAAAGGGCCGCAACAGAGAAGGCCGAATAAAAATCCCCAAGTGGACCTCCCTAGAAACGTCTACAAAAAGAATGAATCAAAAATTCTCATCCATCAGTAGAATAAGAGTTTCACAAGGACGACTCGCATCAATCAAGGAGCCAAGACTCCATCCCCAGGAAGTCGATAATCCTCTGGTGGATCACCAAAGAAAACTTTATCCCTTGCGGATCCCCAAAATGAAAAAAAAAGTCTGCATACATAAAAGAAACTAAAAAGTAAAAAGGCACACGCTTTATCCCCATAAAAAAAAAAAACAAATTTCAAAATCACGATAAAAAAGAGATAAATCGCGGAAAAATGAGAAATTAAAATCCTAACTTTTAGGTAAACAGAATGCCCATTCCCCAATGAAATAAGAGCATCGCATAACCAACTCACACCAGTACCTAACAAGGAGTCAAAACTCCAAGGGGTAAACCAAAATCAAATCCCCGAGAAAGCAATCAATCCCTAGTGGATCATCAAAAAGAGAAAAATCATCCTCAGTGAGCCTACGACAAAGGCAAATTTCAGACTTACATCCTCAGAAGAGTCATTCACCTATGAGTAGGCAAGATCTGGTAAATAAAGAGTCAACATCCCCAGAATGGGATATCAGCCTATTCAGAGGCAAAATAGCACAAGCACGAAATCTTCACCTCTATTTGAAACATCTGCCTACTCAAGAGGCAACATCAAAACCAACAAATCCTTAGTGAATTCCTGCCTACTTCAGAGGCATTTAACAAAGAATCCCCAACAATCAACAAGCTGGATGACTATTGGAAAAAGCCAAAAATCAAAGAATCCCCAGCGCACCAGATGACTACAAAAAGTCAAAAACATTTATCAAAGCAAAATTACTCCCCATGGAGTCGGCACATGAGCTAGAGCAGTAAGCCACCACCACCAGTCCTACAAAGTGGATTGCACCAACCGAATGGGGGTTCATACTCATCAACCGAGGGGTCGGCTACCGCAATAAGGAGCATCCCAAAGCTACAAGCAATCGGATGGGGGTTCATACTTGTCAACCGAGGGGTCGACTACCGCAAGAAGGAGCATCCTGAGGTTCTACCACATGTTAGCCGAGGAGTCGGCTACCGCAAGAAGGAGCATCCTGAGGTTCTACCACTTGTCAGCCCAGGGGTCGGTTACCGCAAGAAGGAGCATCCCAAAGCTACAAGCAATCGGATGGAGGTTCATATTCATTAACCGAGGGGTCGGCTACCACAAGAAGGAGCATCATGAGGTTCTACCACTTGTCAGCCGAGGGGTCGGCTACCGCAAGGAGCATCCCAAAGCTACAAGCAACCGGATGGGGGTTCATACTCATCACCTGAGGGGTCGGCTACCGCAAGAAGGAGCATCCTGAGGTTCTACCACTTGTCAGTCGAGGGGTCGGCTACCGTAAGAAGGAGCATCCCAAAGCTACAAGCAACCGGATGGGAGTTCATAGTCATCAACCGAGGGATCAGCTACCACAAGAAGGAGCATCCTGAGGTTCTACCACTTGTCAGCTGAGGGGTCGGCTACCGCAAGAAGGAGCATCCCAAAGCTACAAGCAATCGGATGGGGTTCATACTCATCAACCGAGGGGTCGACTACCGCAAGAAGGAGCATCCTGAGGTTCTACCACTTGTCAGCCGAGGGGTCGGCTACCGCAAGGAGCATCCCAAAGCTACAAGCAACCGGATGGGGGTACATACTCATCAACCGAGGGGTCAGCTACCACAAGAAGGAGCATCCTGAGGTTTTACCACTTGTCAGCCAAGGGGTCGGCTACCTCAAGAAGGAGCATCCCAAAGCTACAAGCAACCGGATGGGGGTTCATACTCATCAACCGAGGGGTCAACTACCACAAGAAGGAGCATCTTAAGGTTCTACCACTTGTCAACCAAAGGGGTCGGTCAACTACCACAAGAAGGATCATCTTAAGGTTCTACCACTTGTCAACCAAAGGGGTCGGCTACCGCAAGAAGGAGCATCCCGGAGGTTCACACCTTTTTGTCCAAAGGGGTCGACTGCCGCATGAAGGAGCATCCCGGAGGCACACACACATTTATCGTCTGAGGGGTCGACTACCGCAAGAAGGAGCATCTGAAGGATAGTCGGACAAGAAGGTTAACTCCTTCACCCTCCAGCCGTTCTTTTTGGCATGTTGAGCCAATAGTCGGCTAGTCAGGTGAAGGGGGGGCAGCTGTAGACCCCAAATCTTTCCCGACCTCAAAATAAAGAGCAGAAGACTTCCGTTCGAAGATGGGCAAGGCCTAAAAGGTCCCTAGGATTGATCAATAGGCCCCATATTAGAATAGGAAGGATTTTTGTACAAGAAAAATAAGAAATTTCACCCAAAGGGTCGAAACCACCATCTCGTTTGGCGAGACCGTCGTCTCGTCACTTGCCGAAGGCGAGACCGCCGTCCCGTTTGGCGAGACGGCGGTTCCGACCTTGTCAGGCGAGACGGTGGTCCCAACCTGACAGGTGCGAATTCCTATAAAAGGGGGGGGGGGGGACTTTCTCACTCTTTTCACACACTTCTACCACTTTCCCTTCTGTAATAGTCTCGAATTATTCTCCTAGGACCCCTCTGAAGCATTTTTAGAGTTTCTTAGAGTTCTTAGAAAGCATTTTAGAGTGCTGCGAGAAAGAGCGATCATCATTGTAGAGCGTGGGAATTACCAAAAAGCACCTTTTTTTCAAGAACATACTATAAAAGTTTGCTTCGAAGGTTCTCATATACTCCCTTCTCTATTTTATTGCTTTCTAGATAATATCATTGTACATTAGTCATTTAGGGTCATGTAGTCAATAACTTAATTTCTGCAATAAATAAATAAGGGTAAAAACGCAATTTTATAGTTATTATTTCTTTATCAAAAATGGTCCATCATAGGGAACCCGAAAGAGGCGTCGTAGGGAAGTTAATACCTTCCCTACATATAACTAACTCTCTTACCTAACTCTAGTTGTAATGACCAAAGTTGTTTTTTCTTAAAAATCACTGCCTTTTTTTTTCTTTTCCAATGTTTCTGGTAAAAACATTGGTAGTGACTCTTGAACCTTTCAAAAACTTCACTTTTAGGTCCAACCTAGTTATCGGATAACCTAAAAGACGTTGAACTTCTTTTAAAAAATATAAGTCATTCAAAATCATCATGTCGCTTTGACCCCTCTTTTAACGGTGGATACAATTTGTACCATCATTATTGTTGTCGATATCATCTCGACCAGATGAAATCGTCCCTCTTGACCAAACATAATAGCCAAAAGGTCAACCCCTAAGCCTAACTCAGCCTAACTCAACGTTATGCCTATCCAAACGATTCTCCACAACCACTCCCTCTACTAACAAAAGTTGTCCACGCGATTACCTCTCAGGATTAAAAGAGAGATAGAAAAAAGAAGAAGACATGATTACATATCAAACACTAACAAAGTGTATGAGCACTTGCCAGAACAAAATATTTTCAACCTATAAAGACATAAACTCCACCCTATAAAATATAGGCACTTAAGTCACAAAATACAAGGTGTCATGTTTCTCCCACCGCTAGACTTCACCAAATTCAATTGTCATCAATGATGACTTTCGTGCCAAATTTTCAAATCAACAAAACATTCGTGTCAAAATTGTGACAAATCAAACTTAATGTTACAAAGACTCTTGGTCCTTGATATGTTCTCAAGCTTAGGGGTTTAATATGCACATATCAATGTATTTATTGCATCGTATATATCTTACATAACTTGAGCGTTACAGTATTTTTACAAGCAGATATCCCTCTTAAAATCGAAAAGTCTTCAAAAAAAAGTCATAATAGAATAATCAAGATGACACACTATATCACTGAAGTTATGAGCCTTATTAGAACAAAATTGTTTTGAGTATTAAAGATGTTAAAGCCTTTTAATAGTTTTCATATTTTGGATAAATGATCTTTCATAACATAAAACCCAATATTTTTGCAAGATTCATCGTAAGCACATCCTGCCATGATGGAGCACATAGTCCATGAAAAACAAAATCATCAATAAGGACCTCAAACACTAATCAAATCAACCTTGTTCATGGGGGATAGTGTCTCTTCATTCTCCACCATCATATCTGAAATGCTACTAGTGTTGGACCACCATCACCACTACAATCAGGTGGCTCTGTCGCACAGAAAACATAGTCTTGAGCCACCATTTACATCATGATTGATCAGAACATCAACATGTCAATAAGATTAAAAAATAAAAACTGAATATATTATCCTTAACGGTAAAATGGTAAATTTGTTTCGAATATATTATTTCTTTATTTTATTTTTTAAAACTAACAATTTTTTCCATCTATTTTCATTTTTCTTCTCTTACATTCGTTGTAACCCAAACAATTCCAATTCTAAATTAATTGTTTAGTGGCATCTAGGCCTTTTATACCAGTCAAGACCTAAGTACCTAAGAGTCACCACTAAGACATGTTATCAAATAGTGAAAAAGTTTGATTATCGATAATAATACTCATATTCAAGAATTTTATTATATATAATGCCATCTTAGAATAAACGGAAGCAATAAAGAGAAAATATATATCCACAGGAATTCCAGATAAAGTTTATGTGTATTCTCAATTAAACATTTTTTAACTCAATTTTGCTGTAGTTCAATCTGATCACACAAACACAAATGTGCTCATGCCTTTACCCAAATCAATCCAACAAATTGAAGAAAACATGATTAAATTGCGCATAGCTAAAGTTTCATAGTACTTTACATGAACAGATGGAAATTCCCATTGCTGCCGCTCACTTCCACATATACATGATACAGGAATAGGAAGCCTGAAAAAACAAGACTCAGACCCTATGATCCTTCATATCCTCAAAACCTAGTGAGCCGCAGACCTCAAAAGGATTAGGCTATACATACAACATTTCTACAAACGAAAGAATTAAAGAGTAAAGTAACACGACTACTCTTCCTTCACGTCTAGGGACTTTATTTCTGCCAAAAGCCGTTTATACTCATCTTGGGCTTCTTGTATTTTACTTTTAAGCTTCACCACCTGTACAATCATGAACATTACTTTCAAATGGATTTTCATCCAATAAATTTACAGCAGAGTATCTATTTTAACAAACTTCAACTAAATCCATAGAATGTAACAAAACTTTTGGTATACAAATATTTAACCATAGGTTTTTATTTATATTTTCTTTTCATGAAACTTTTGGTTGAGGATGGTGGAAGTAAAAAACTTTTGTAGGTCCAGCTTTTAAATATTAAAAAAGGCAGGAAAGAAAAAATAAGTAGCTCTATAATTATCCAACTGCAATTCCATCAACCGCAAAATGTATAAACACGGTTAATCAATTAGGTAACAAGAATGAGTGACTTAGCCAAGCTTTATTACTTCGCAAAATTACCTTGAAATGAAGTTCTTCTCCTGTCTTTTCATATTCTAAACATCTGCAGGAAAAAAATTGGAAGCCATGACTAACGTTTGGTAGATATTGGTACAATAAAAAATGAGAAAATGAAAATAACTGCACAGTTACTCTTTGCCAACAAAAGTAGGCAAAATTTGAAGCCGATTCAACTTGCTGAACAGTATTTAATACAAATAGATTCATCAGAGTCACTGCAACAAGAAAATATACTTACTTTACATGCAGTTGCTTATTTTGTTGTATCAAATGTAAAGTCTTTCGGTCTTCCACCTGGTCAGCTGGAGTTGCAACCGTCTACATAAAATGCAAGGGTAAAAACACTTTTCAAAGGTTTACAGTGGTAGAATATGAACCCCAAAGAAATTAAGTAAATAAATAGAATCAATATGTTAGGATTTTTGCCTAAATCTAGATACAATAAAGGTTAATGATTTTTTAGTTGCGGAAATTTGGGCTAAATTTTTGTCCCACAAGTTAAATAAAGTCCATTCTATCTTCTCATATTAAAACATAATTTTAATCCCTAAACACTAAATTTGAAAAACCAACAAGTTTTAAAAAACTCATTTTAGTCCCTCATTAAATGTTTAGGGAGTAAAATCACATTTTCTTAATTTTGCAGGACTATTTTTTTTTTTTTTAATCATGGGGGACCAAAACCAGAATTACTATAAATTTCAGAAACTAAAAAAATAATTAAGCTACGATGAATGACTATAACAATAATAATGAAAGGACTAAATGGAACTAAGGTGAATCAATAATGGAACAAATTTGACAGTCCCCATCAAAGATTTCATCACACATGAGTCTTTACTATTTCTCTCTATATGCTATCTAGATAGAGCCTAGTCTGATTCATGCCCATCTAATGGACCCACTATCCATCATGCTAAACTATTTTAAAAATTCTGTCTCATTTCGATTTTCGGCTATCCCTCTTCACCATGCACATTTTTTCGACATGTTTCCCCTCTTTCACTTTGCCATTTGTTGCCAACATTATCAACAACACACCCTCGCACGCATCTTAATCCCCCGCAAGTTATCTTCTTGTACATCATGTGTTGCAATACGTCCAACCACCTTTTCGGCCAATTTTGATCATTGTATGAAGACAAGGTAATATAAGTATTGGTCTATGGTTTTTGCTACATGTGATAATAGGCAGATGAAGTTGTTTTGTGATAACTAGGTGACTCTTTATATTGCCTCCAATCCAGTGTTTTCTTAAAAGAACAAAACATATTAAGATTGACTGTCATTTTGTCTGAGAGATATTGTTGTCAAAGAAATTGTAACTGAGTTTGTGAGCTCTAATGAGCAACTTACATACATTTTAACTAAATCCCTAAGAGGACCTAAGATTCAATTCAAATGTTGCAAGCTTGGTGCATACAATCTATATGCTCCAGTTTGAAGGGGAGTATTGAGATATGTTCATGTTTTAGGGTTTAACTCATGTTTCTTTTGTTTATATGTTCCTTAGACTAGGGTTAAGGTTTTGGGCTGAGACTCATCCTCTTTTGTATCTTTTCTTTATAAATTCAAGAGTAATAGTGTCTTTTTATACTATATTGAAACCCTAAATAGTTTTCTCAAGCAGAATAGTAATACTTGGGATCTCGTCCCTTTGCCCCCTAAAAATTATATTTGTAAAGGGATCTTAACCATGAACGTTGGTTGGAATGACATACTTGATCAAGTCAAAGCTCATTCAATAGTCAAAGGTTATAATTAGATATTTAGGTTTACAATGCCACCTTCTGCTTTTTTAGCCATGGCTACTCTAAATTGTTGGTTCCTCTATCAGTTGGTTGTTAAAAATGAATTTCTTCATGTGATCTCTTGAGAGAAGTTTATATGAAGCAACATATAAGTTTCATTGCTAAATGGGAGTCTTTAGGCTTGGTGTATCATCTTCGCAAATCTTTATATGGTTTTAAGTAATCTCCAAAGGCATGCTTTGGTAGATTCATACAACAATCTAACAGTTTGGTAAGAAACAAGGTGAAACTAATCATTTTGTGTTTCTTTGTCATTTTATTGTTGAATGTATCTACCTAGTAGATGATATTGCTCTTACAAGTAAGGATCACCGAGGCATTTTACAAATTAAAACACCACCTTTGTCATCATTGTTAGACAAAACACCCATGGCATGCCCAAATATTTCACAAGGGTTGAGGTAGAAAAATCAAACAATAGAATTTTAATTTTTCAGAGGAAATATGCATTGCATATTTTAGAAGAGACTGAGCTAGTGAATTTCATGTCAATTAACACCCTTATGGATCCAATTGTCAAACTTCTAACAAGCAAGGGGGAACCACTTTCAGATCCTGAGATATACATGAGACTAGTTGAAAAACTACACTACCTTACAATCACCCAGTCCAAAAATCTCCTTTGCAATCAATGTGATAAGTTAGTCTTTTATTCTCTATGTGTGGAGCATTAGAATATAATTATTCACATTCTAAAGTACATTAAAGGAGCCCAAAGAAAGGTTTGTTATATGGACACAGTAATCATACTCGACTTCTGGGATACTCAAAATTCAAATTGAGAAGGCTCTCCTACTAATCGAAGATCTACTTTCAGATAGTATTTTTATTGATGACAACTTGATTGAAAAGAAAGAAGAATGTAACGACAAGATCTAGTGTAAAAGCATAGCACATAGTTATGGCTCCTACCACTTGTGCACCTATTTGACTCAAACAATCACTTAAAAGAACCAATATTTGAGGAGTTTCCATAAATGATATGCTAAAAAAATGATATGCACTAATATGCTACAAAAATGATATGCACTAATAAAAAATTATATGCACTAATAATGAAGCCAATGCAGACCTGTTTATTTTGACTGAAACAATCATTGGCTACATTGTCTTTCCTTGCAAGCTTTTGCTTATCCAGAAGGTCTACAAATTCATGTGCCTTTCTCTTATTATGAGAACATTGTAAGGTATTCTCGGATGATTTTGCATTGACAAGAGAGGAGGAACTTTTGTTCAATATGATCGGTTTTTCTACAGCCAAGGGTTTTTCAATTGATGCAAACCCAGTTGGAAGCTTCCTCTTTGCCCTGTACCCAAACAATGTACAATGTGTATCCCTGCGGAAGTTTAAATAGAATACTAGAGATGTCAAATATGGATGCTAAACTAAACTGCCATACTCCAATGCATAAGGCTCTTCATTGAGCTAAGGTATGGGAGAGAATAGCATCATTATAAGTAGTCTTACCCTTGCATATGCAAAGTGTAAGGGTGGCAAAATAAGAGAGCAAACTGTTTTAACCTGCCCACCACCAACTAATGGCAGGCTAGAAATCCTAGCTCGCTCTACTTAGGGGTGGGTTGGAAGACCAAAGGGCTAGCCCACCAAAATAGGGAAAAATAACTTCAAAATAAAAATTAATCTAACTTCAAAATAGTAAAAGAACCTAAAGTATATTAATAACTTCACCTATATTTAATTTGAATATAAAATTTATTTTTTTAGCATTAGAGATATGAGCTTATAAAACAAACTAGCCATAAGAAACAAGTTTTTGATTTGTTAAAAATTCTTAACAAAATTACTAGCCTAAACACACTAAATAATTTATTTAAAAAAAAAAAAGGTAAGCTGGCAGACCATGGCTGGCAGGGCAGACTGTGGGTTGAACCACCTACTCTGCATGGCATATTTTTGCGGGTTGGACGGTCATCCCAACAGATCCACCCCATTTTGTCACCCTTAGCAAAGAGACAATTTCAAAATTCAAACTCAGAACCACCTGGTTCCAAGGCACAACTTTACGGCTTTACCAGGACACCCTCTCAAATATTACTGCTTAAAAATTAAAAAAATAAAATATTTAAATATACATGTGTATTGCTTGGCATACAGCAAACCAAATGTATGGCATGTTTCCAAGTAGAGCAGGACAATTAAAATTAGAGATCACCACAACACACCATACCAATATTCCCATGTCATCTCCTTCAATCGCCCTTCAAGCTTTTGAAACAGGGAAGTTCTCTCAAAATCTTGTTTGTTATGCGTTGGCTCAATAAAATCTGCTTGCAGGATACCTGAAATTACCAAAGATTAATTAACATAGTTAGGCATCCACACACTGCAGGAGCAGTACGTCTCTAAACATCAGAAAGAACTTGAAAGTGCATTGTAACATATTACTTACCGACAACTCCTCTACCCCTACTATCCAAATAGCTAACAACCTGCCAAAATGGCTGGCATATTGAAAGGGTAACACCAGTGTTAGAGTAAAAGAAAGAAAATTAAAAAATGAACTAAATGGTAAATCCATGTTAAAGCAACAGAGAATAAACAAAACGATTTAAAATGTCTAATTTTGTAATTTTACAATGTGAATCTAATAAGGATTCCTTTGGAGAAGTAAAAAGTATGACAATGGCAAGAATAGCCATCTCCCACTAGGTTAGGTTGGCTACATGGGGTCACAGGATGTAATTAAGGATGTAATTAAACACAGTTAAAACTGTTAAGGTTCCAATATAAAATCAATTAGCAATATATGGAGTAGTCTAACATGTATTTAAACCATACCAAATGACATGAGGTAGGCGATGTGGAACTTTCAACATGCCCCCTCCAACGAAACCTGCCGGACCAGGCAAAAGGTACTTTTGACTCAACTAAAGGGCAACTTTTGGCCCATGACAATAACCGGAAAATGTTAGGCTTTGACTCTAATACCATGTTAAGGTTCCAAGATAAAATCAATTGGCAATATGTAGAGTAGCCTAACATATATTTAAACCATACCAAATGACATGAGCTAGGCGATATGGGACTTTCAACAAAAACCTAAATTTTCAAAGATGTTATTCAGTATATAATCCCTCATAAAAATTTCTAACTGTCCTTCATGGTCTCCCTTTACCCATTTTTATAAGGCTATTGCCTCAAGGCTCTTCACACCAGTGTCTCCCTACACTCTAGTAACCTTTTCTGCATGTGTCCAAATTAACTAAAATGATTTGATATCTTTTCCTCAACAGTAATCATTAGCCATATCCTTTCTTGCGTTGCCACACATCTCTCCTAACATTTATTTGCTAATCATTCGTTTTTATCTTATTGTGCCTTTAAATTTAAACTAAAGATTCACTACCAAAATTTTAGCTTCAACGAAATGTCACGATCCTCCATTTACTTTCGTGTTCATGTCTCTATTCCATCTCCTCTTGCATTCAGTGGCGTTTCTGTCCCTTCAGCATTATAGAATTGTTTGCACGGCACTTTCTGGGCCTTTTTCTCCTTAGCTCCCTTGTAAAGTGTTCTTGACACCGATTCTGTACCAACTAAACCTTCGCTAGTTTAGACTCTCATACATAAAGTTGACCTTCCATTTTCACCAAGGGCCCCACTCTCAACAAATTTTGATGGAAGCAGGCTACCATTCTTGGGCTTCTGATATCAAACTTTAGCTTCAGTGAATTTTAAGAAGACAATCTCATTTTGACAACTGACTCTTCGTCTATCACTAACTGCCCTCAATTGAATAAGATTGATGCCCAACGTTGTATTATCACCAAATCCATTATTCATCCTTCCCTCCTTAAAGCAAATCTTTCCTGCTTATGAAACTTGTGAAGATGCTTGAGAACAGGATAAGGTCTTTTCTACCAATGACACCCTGCAACTGTATGGATGACTAGTAGGAAAAGTTGATGGCCTCATATGTCACTCTAATGAACTCACCCGCAAAAAAATAATCAGATTTAGATCAATTTGAAGTGAAGTGATTTGCATTTGCAAACTGGTGTCAAAACCTCACTGCAAAAGCTATATTTTTATCACTTCTCAAACTTGTTTTAAGAAGCAAACTTGAATTATTTTTCATAAAACCAAACATTAATGATGTTTTTTCAATTGTAAAGAAATGGAGAGGATGAAATAACTGTGGGCTGTTTGATGCACATACTATACTATTACTTATCTATTTCAACTCTAACCATCTCTTTTTCTCTCATTTATTTTTCACCTATTTCCCCTCATAATTTTTATTTCCACCTAACTTATTTCCCTCCGTACCACACAGTGCATAAAGAAACTCAGAATCACGGATGTCAATTTCAAGCATGTTTGGGAAATCCAACGCTCCCCCAAACAAGCTATAAGATGAACAAAGTAACTCGAGCCCTATCCTCCATCACGGCTGTCATTTTCAAGCATGTTTAGGGAACTCTGCCCCAAACACACAACAGAAAGAGCAAGGTAAATGGAGACTATATGCATGCTTGAATCCTTGACCCCATCCCTCTTCCCTTTCCCTCCCAACACTAGAAAAGAAAAGAGGAAATGCTTGTGCTTTGGACAACATAAAAATTTTACCCAGCCATAAAATTTTCAGAAAATTTATCAATTAACCAATCACATTCAAGAATTGATTTGTATTGTTCCTAGGATCTAATTATGCAAATTAAGAGGGTTCTATCGGAACCCCTAAGCCCTCAAAAAGGGCGAGTAATTTTAGTGTTAGAACTATAACTTTGACAACTCATAATTCAATTAACATACATACATATATATATATATATATATATATATATATATATATATATATATATATATATATATATATATATAGAGAGAGAGAGAGAGAGAGAGAGAGAGAGAGAGAGAGACACACACACACACACAGACATATATAAACGCAACCAACTAGGAATATTACAACATTTTGGGTTATAATTACCAGTATAAGCCGATTCTTGTGATATACATTGAAACCATGGATATTGACTTGAGGAGCTTCCTTAAGAAATCCAATTGTTGTGACTGTCAAAGCTGTTCCCTACAAAGATAATCCAAATAATATTAAATTTTTTTAAAAAAAGTGTCAAAGAACTACAGCTAGCTGAAGATAGTTTTTCTCTATAATCAAGCCAAAATTCAAAAATGAATCAGGCCAAGCAAAAAAAACGTAATGGATAAATTAAACTAGACAAGCCAACCCATTTTTAAAATAATATTACTTAATTAACATATATATGTTTTATAATGTATCAGATCATTATATCTAAACTTAAAATTAATATCACTAATATTAAATTTTAAAAATACATTTTATTTTTAATTTTTTTACAAAAATGACTTGTTAGCCTAACATTGGCAGGAGCAGCCTAAAAAATAGCCTATTTAAAAATACTGGTTAGGCCTAACTGACATAAACTTTTAGGTGGTACATTGGGTCAGGGGTACCCATTTAACACCTCTACTTGAGACCATAGCTATCATAGTGAAGGCACTGGCCTAAGGATTTTACGACCAGCTAATACATCAACACTTCTTCCAAATCTTTATTGAAAATGCATTATTATTATTAAGTTTGTTTCTTAAAAGGCCATCGTCAAGGAGAATTAAACAACAATAACTAATTTGGTGACTTGAGAAAAAGTTTCATTGTAGACATCACAAAAGTGTTGATGATGGAACCCCTTAACCACAAGGCGACTTTGTACTTGCATACAGACCCATCTGGATTCTCTAACTCAAAAAACCATTTGCATCCAATGGGTTTGTAATCAGGTGGGACAGAAACAAGAGACCAAGTATGATTGTAGGTTAGAGCACTAATTTCGCACTTCATGGCTTCAACCAAAGTATGTTGAGGCAGTGCTTGTTTTTATAGATTATGGCTTTATATTAGTGAGTAGAAGAGTAAGGTGAGTGAAATATAGGTAGCACTATTTCAGACTTGGAATGAGCCTGCATGGGGTGTGTGTTTGCAAGCGGTGGACGTAGAGAAATTGATCATTCTAAGTGGTTAGTGTTGAAAGGTGATGGGGATGGGCCTATTTGTGGACTTGTGTCTTGAGATTGAGGAGTTATGGATGGAGTGGAGGATGTTGTAGATGAAAGACAGGATGGTGGAGAAGTGATGGGGTTCAAGGTAATTGGTCAATTCGAAAGAATAATAGATAAAGGATTGGAGGGTGAGACTAAAGAACTGGAAAATAGTTCAGGAAGAATATTTGGATAGGGAAAGCACAGTTCATTGAATAGAACATCTTTTGAGACAGATTTTTCCATCTGAAACCATTAAGTTATAACCTTTTGCGGGAGTTAGAATAACCAAGAAATGTGCACTCTTGAGAACAAGCTGTGATGCAAACGGTCTACACTCATGGGTGTGCAGGCAAATTAACCTGTTAGTAATCCCATGTTATGCAAGATGTGATGCAATTAGATAGTAATGTCACAGGGCCCCACAAGTCAATGTAGATTAATCAAAAGGTTTACTATAATTAGTGGAAAGGAAGAAGAAAGACAGTGAGCTTTTGAGAAAATCACAAGAGGAAAAAATGTCAGTGAAATTCTAATTAACAAAAGGAATATTACAGAGTTTGAATTCAATCCTGTGAACGTTAGTATTTAGATGACCTAGTCTAGAATGCCAAGTATTAAAGGAAAAAAACTACTAGAATAGGATAAGAGTGAGATTGCATATAGCATGAAGAGTTGACATTGCAGCTAGGTGATAACAAATGTCGAGAATTGATAATGTCCAAATAGACCTATTTGACCATCAAGGAGCACAGCATTGGTAGTGTAATTATACACAAAGAAATGAAATTCAAAATACAGAAAATTACCTTTGCAATGTTGACTGACATTGATTAGATTTCTGGGTGATAATAGAAACGTAAAGCATATTATTAAAGAGTAAGAGTGTATTTTGGAATTAGGGGATGAAGGAAAGGTAGTGAGTGACACTTATAGAATTATATGGAGACCTTGGTCATTTCATTATTGCCTGTGATGATTGGGTTTGATCCTTCAAAAGGAGAAAGTTGATGGATATCATGTGAAATTAATAGACATAATAGAGATAATAACGAATGGTAAAGACCTTCCAGGTGGATGTTAGAAGAAAATATAGAAAAGGGTTAAAATTTTAATTAGTGGGTGTTCCTGGTAGGATGTTACTTTTGTTAGTGTATGAGGCAAAATAAATAGATCTTCTGATATATGTAGAGGGTACTTTTAGACAGAAAAAAAGTCAATATTTGGTATTACCAATGTGAAAAGGAGAGTGCTTTTTTTGGGGGTAATTTTGTTTACCCTATTAGTTTTGTGGGTAATCAAGAGGTATTTTCCAGTATCTTGCTCACTACTATTAGAAGGCATGGATAAGTGTGTCAAGATCTTTCAGATTAACTACATAAGGGCAATAAGGGAGTTCATAACAAAATTGGTCTGACCTACCAAATGCCAAATGTGGTAAGATCGGATGGGAAAGTTGGCAAAATTGGTCGACAAGCAAGGAGGAACATTTTCAGGATCTTGAATATATCAAGAAACTTCTCTTAGACAAAATAATCAAAAAGTTCAATCTATAGAAGGAGATTACTCTATAAATCAGAGGAATCACTCCTCAAACAAAGCAAAAAAGAAGAAAGGGAGGTTGAGGGGTTTGAGGATAAGTCTTCAAGAGAATCATGGATCAAGAAAGTCAAGCAACCTATTTTTGAAGGACAAGATCCTTTGTGTTAAGGTTCCAACATAAAACCAATTGGCAATATGTGGAGTAGCCTAACATGTATTTAAACCATACCAAATGACATGAGGTAGGTGATGTGGGACTTTCAACACACCCCCTCCAACGAAGCCCGCCGGACCAGGCAAAGGGTACTTTTGACCCAACTATAGGGTAACTTTTGGCCCATGACAATAACCGGAAAGATGTTAGGCTTTGGCTCTGATACCATGTTAAGGTTCCAACATAAAACCAATTGGCAATATGTGGAGTAGCCTAACATGTATTTAAACCATACCAAATGACATGAGGTAGGCGATGTGGGACTTTCAACACTTTGGGTTGGTTGGAAAGGACAAAAAAAATTTTAAGTTCAACAGATTAGAACTTCTCACATTTGAAGTTGGTTAGTATGAAAGGAAACGCTATTCACTAGTTTCAATATTGGTGCTGAAAGATCAAGAATCCTTCTTAGAAAGGGTTTTCGAAGGCCTTGATGAGGAGATTTGGAGACAAAGGTTAAGGATCAGTGTATAAGATATTGGCAACATTAAGACAAACTGGAGGAGTAGACGAATATGTACAAGAATTTGAACTCTTGGTTGTAAGCCAAGTTCAATGCAGAGGACCAATTAATAGGATACTTCTTGGCTAGATTGCGTCATGATATTAGGAGCATGGTGTGTCCAGATGATCCAACTGATCTTTATAGAGTAATGGAAGTAGCACGAGATGTGGAAGAAGCTATGAAACATGTACAAGGATAAGGGGAGGTTTGGGAATCATGACAAGTGTCATGTCGACAGTAAGGTATCAAGGGAAAGGAAGAGACATACTAAGAGGGGGAACTATGAGTGGGTCATGTAGTTCATATGCCTCAATAATGGGGTTTGGAAGCTGACAGAATAATGCATCTCAATATTCCTTGAGACCAAAAACTATGGTAACAAAATCATATTCTTTTGTGGCCAAGAATAAGAATAATAAAACTATCCCATATGCAGAATATGTTAAAAGAAGGGAAGAAGGAAGGTGTTCCAGATGTGGGAGGATGTATAGCATAGGTCATCGCTACCCATAAAAGAATTTAAGGGTAACTATATTGACAGAAGAACAAGAGAGTAGCGACTAGGAAGAAACAAAAAATATTGGGAGGAAAAGGAAAAAGAGTAGGAAATGAGGTGGACTATCAATGGATGGATCTAGGGGAATTTTCAGCTAGAGGGTTTACTTAGTCACACACTATGAAGCTAAAGGAGAATTAGGTGGCCAATAAATAATGATATTAATCAATAGTGGAGCCACCCACAACTTCATATCAAGAAAATTGGTGAAGAGGATAGGTCTTGATATTGATCCTACCAAATCTTATCAAGTTAAATTAGGAGATCAACACTGAAAGTCTACTCAAGGAAGTTGCAAAAATTCAAACATTCAAATAGGTACTTATAAAATGAAAAGTGATTTTTATTTTGTTTGATTTGGGGGCTATAGACGTGATATTAGGTGTGGCGTTGTTGGTGACTTTGAGGGAGATTAAGGAAAATTGGAGGGAGCTACAAATATCTTTTGTTTATCAAGAACAGAACATGGTCATTAAAAGAGATGCTAGTTGGTTGAAATTTGTTATATCTTCAAGATCCTTCAAGAAAATGGTTAAAGAAGTAAATGAAATGTCAGTTCTATAGGGAATGGTAAAGGAACAGATTACAAAAGAAGAACTGTTCAACGAACAAAAAATCAATTGCAGACAATGTTATCCGAGTTTGAATAAACTTTTGAATAGCAAAAAGGTATGCCACCAGCTAAAGACATTGATCATAATCTCTATTAAGGTTGGAGTAGGTCCTGTAAATGTGAGGCACATAGATACCCACATCTCAAGAAAATTTTGATTGAAGCACAAGTTACTCAAATGTTCTATGTTGGAATTATTAGACTAAGTAACAACCCATATTCTTGCCCTATTATTTTAGTTAAAAAGAAGGATGGGTGTTGGAGGTTTTGTGTGGATTATAGGGGCTCTCAACAAGGCAACAGTTCCGATTAAATTCCCTATTCCAATTATTAAATAGTTATTGGATGAATTAATGGGGGCCACCTACTTCTCTAAAATAGACTTGAAGGTTAGTTATCATCAAATTAGGATGCATTAGTTAGATATTCCAAAAATAGATTTTTGGAATGTCTCCCTATTCCAATGGTTGAGTACAATGGCAAAGTACAATCTTTCCAATGTCTCTGGTCAAAGTCTTGAACAAAGTCCTCCTGAGCCATCATCTCCAACTATTCGTAACCCCCAGACCGATAGTCCC